ATGCCACCAGTCACAGAGCTGTGTGTACCATTTGCAAGAAGCAACGCAGGAGCGATGCAATTTTGTGTCCCAAAGAGAGAATGAGCCAGACATCAATGGTGCTGCTTCTGGGCTCTCTGCTCCAGGGTCTTTAACCTGTGATCACAACGACAGTTGGAAACATCATCTCAGAGGTCACCAGGCTCCATGTTGTCCTGTCTGATGTGCTTCCATTTCTGGTAGAACTTGAAATTCGGAAACAACCTAAATCTGGTGCGCTGCACTGAAGAGATGACAAGGAAATATTTAAACTTCATTTGGATATTTTAAAACTACATTATGTCTATGAATACTAATTTTCAAAGTGAGGCATACTGATCCTATAGCCTTCATCCAGCAACTGGTGGTAGTAAAAGAGATACCCACAGCTAAACCTTGAACTAAACTGGAATCCAGTTGGAGAGAAGGAGGATTAATGAGCAAAGGGGTCCAGACCAGGCTATTGAAAACCACGGAGACAGCTGACCTGATTATGGGAGAGATCTAGGTCCGCAGACTGATAGATGGGAAACCAGCATGGGACTGATCCAGTTCAGCTGAATGCGGGGTTCAGTGAGGAGACCTCGGAAATAGATGGGGTCCCTTGAATTGAATCGGGGCTTATCCCTAGAATAGAAATGTACTTTCTTAGCCCGTCTCACATGGAGGGATACTCTGAGCCTAGACACAACGGGGTGGGCCTAGGCCCTATCCCAAACTATATGACAGACTCTGAAGACCCCCTATGGAAGGCCTCACCCTTCCTTGGGAACAGAAAGGGTACAGTAAAGGTAGGGTGTTAGTTGGGGGAGGCAGGGTAAGAGGAGAGTGAGAGGGAACAGGCATTGACAAGTAAAATAATCTTTCTAAAACAAATAAAAAATATGAAAATATAAATTCACTATATTGAATTAGATTTATTGTTAGTAGACTGAGCAACTGGCATGTAACTTGTCCTTGGAAGCAGTAGGAGCCCATGCATATCTAAGCTGAGTAAGCATCCTAATATTCAATGTAGTACTGGTCATCGTGTTTGGTATCTTCCACACACAGGAAGGCTTTGGCCAAAGTTGGCCTAATGTAAAAACAAAGACAGCAACATGTTTCTTTTTCAATAGCTAATGTGCTCACTATCATTTTATTTCAGCATTTCAAAAACTCTATATATTTTCTGTACTGGCAAAAAATATGTCTGATATAGGAGTTTGAGATTTATAAATATACACATTCAAATTAAAATACACCTGTACTGCTTAACCATTTTTGTCTTCCAAATGTGTCCACCTACACTAGTTCTCTTTTAAATTCATGGACTCTGGATTCTTTTATTAAAAGTGCTCAGTCTGAATAATGTAACTTTTATGTCTATGGCTCAAGGACTTACCACTTCTAAGAAACCTACCAAGAGCTCTACCTTGGGAAGATTACTTTGTTTTAATGCTTTCAGCATTCTGTACTTGCTTGTAGTCTTCTGCCTAGGGTTGGATTTTGGTATTATTGTCTCTTTCCATGTTAGTACAAGATAGTATTTATTCTTGGCCTAGTTTTCACAGATTCAGAAAGGAAAATGTGCTCTTCCAAGCTATAGAAGCAAAGTTCTATTGAAATAGTGGATGTTATATTTAGAGAAAATACCCAGCAAAACAAAAAAGATTTTTACTTTGTACAAGCCATGAGGAAGTTGCTCCTACCTGAGAGAATGTAACTCTGTCAGCTGTCTTGAGATGAGCTATTAAGTTGTTGGGGATTTTTGGCTTTTGTTTGTTTTGGTTTTTTGTTACATGGTTTGTCTATGTAGCACTTGCTATGCTGAAAGTAGCTCTTATACACTAGGATGGCTTTGAAATCACAGAGATCAACAAGAAAGGCCAATCCACAGCTGGGATTAAAGGTTTGTGTCACCACTGCCCAGCTGCGTAGTCTGTTCTTTCAAAAAATTATATTATAAAATATTTCATTGTCTCATCAATTCATACAAAATAATGTGACACAGATCTCCAGGGACTGCAGTCATTTGTTTCCATTCCAGTTTTTGAGATCTCTCTTCTCATTGGTTCCTGATGCATCTCTAAATGTATTCCCTCCTCCCTGGGAGGCAATCTGATGTAATAAAAATGTCTGCAAAGGAGGATTTTTTCCATGCAGGGTCCTGGCTAATATCCAGCTCTTAGCTGGAATTAGTCAAACCCTGACTGTAAATGACTCCAGAGAAGGGAACTATCCCAGAGACCTGCATGAGACAGAGACAATATAAACCTAGGATAAGGAGGGTGTGGTAGGATATCCCATTTGCCCTGCTAAGTCACTCTCTCTATTTGTAGTGCATGTGATGTGCTCTTCCCTTGGAAGTTTCTGTTACTACTTTAATATCTGCTATTCCCCTGTAGTTTTGAATCCTGCAATTTGTGCAAAGTAGATTTCCTTTTGAATCAGTATATGACAGAAACGTGTCTTGTGTTGATCATATGGGCCACTGTAAGATACAATATAAAATACCTATTTAGGGAAGAACTTTTACTTAGCCATCTAGGACTCTTTGTATTTCAAATGTCAGCATCTCCAAATAAGAGACATCAGAAAACTTTACAAGCCAGCTCTCCTTGGAAGTCCTAAATCACTGTCAGCAATCAGAAGGCAGAGAGGGCAGGGGATTTCACTAGATAGCCAATACAGGCACAAAAACTGGATATATGTTCACCCCTACTTACCCAAGGATGCTTTTCTCTTTTGTTTCTTGTATTCAGTTCTTAGGATTAATTGTAATTTTCTCCTCCTCCATTGTATTTCATATTTTCTGCTGCAGGACATGTTAAGCTGAGTGGGAGAAATGAGTGAGAAGCTGAGAAGGAGTTCTCATAGCTTTCCTCAGGATTTGCTTTCCATTGGTGGAATTGATCACACTGTTCTTATTGGTTCAGGCTCCAAATGACATTTGAATGCACACAGACCTTCAATGTGAGGAAGGGAGACAACAAGACATCTTGTCTGCATTCTAGTTCTTAATAGATCTGGGATATTACAAAAACCCAACTGTAAATTGACCCAGACACAGGAAACTGTTCTGACAAATGCAGAAGATATAGAAAACAAAGATTAACAATTTCTCTTTGTGTTCGATTCCTTGTATTATATCTCTGAATCATTGATTCTTCCTCCTGTAAATCAAGGAGATGTCTGCACTTTGAACTACTGGTTATCTTTAAAAATGTGACATCCCACTCTCAGACCTACAGTATCTGCAAAAAATAATTCTCTTGAGTCATTAGGAAATCACAAAGACTAGGAAAGGACTTTGTTTACTCCCCTGTGGTGGAACCCTTATTACAGCACTTACAGCATTATAAATTTATTCATGAAACTTACACTTTGCTGTACTCCATCCCAACTTCACCTGACTCACAGATGTGTGTGTATATCAATATGTCTTTAGGACTCAATTTATTTCTGTATGCCTCTTGCAGAATGAAAGAAATTACTTTTGTATATCTACAGCATTTTCGCCCTAGCACCTGTCTATTAAAGCAGCTTGTGGTTTTCCTTACGTACCATAGTAATGATAACCAACCTCATAATTATTAATATATTCTTAATTTTTTGCCAGAGTGACAAATATATTTTAAAATATCACTCACTATTTTCTCTTTTATGTCATATTGATCATGAGAGACAGCAGTTTTTTTCCTGCAAACTAGAAGCCACTAACATGATTACAAACCTTCCATTGTGTCACCCGAAGCTTCTAAATGGCAGCAAATGGATTTCTTTGCTATGATTACATAAGCATAAAGCAACATCAACAATAGGTTCTTTTTCTCATAATTGATGTTCTATTCATATTTTCAAAATCTTACCTGAATATCAAGTGTGTCCCCATATGTGTCCCTGCTGCCAAGAACAAAACCAATACATTACTGGAATCTGAGTGAGAACACTCTCTTATCCCTCATATAAGGGGTCTAGTTTTCTCAATATCACTGTAGATATACTTTGATGAAATTCAAGTAATTTATAATAAGTATGTAAGTTCATATAAGTTTATATGTTGAGTTTTCTCGTATAAGTTATATATATGCATGTATGTATACGCATGTTTACTTTTTGTAGGCATATCATAGAATTTCATGCATGCTATTTTTATTTGCATTACTTCATGCTTCTTTTTGTTTCCTCCTTCAATATGATAGCTGCAACAATAAATGTTAAATTAAAAATAACTAAACATTCCAATGATTTTATTATCAATATAAAATACACACATATCTAACCCAGACTGCATACAGATTTGGTTATTATTTATAACAGATTTAATATTGACCTTTTGGAATTAATAGGAATATAGAAGTTATGCTTCAATAGAAATAGATGCTTTTCATTTCCTTGCAATATATGCCCTTGAATTTTCAGCTAATTGTGGTAATTGAGAAATGTTCCCATCTGATTTTGCATTAGTTTCTGATGTCATTGAATTAACCTTTCTTGGTTGTTTCTTTGCTTTTATTTTCTTTCTATTATTTTTCAAATTTCCAAAACTTTCTGTTTTTAATTCCCTATCCCTTTTAGAAGACACTGTCTTCACCCCAGATGTCCTTTTTTCTTTGGATAACAGAAGGTATATGAAAATTGCAGGCAATATTGTCTGAGTCTAAAAGTGAAAGTGGATTGTCAGGATTAATCCGTTGTCGTTTAAGGACACAATGCAAGTTATTGGCCATTTCAGCATTTGTGAAAGTGTGGAACTGTGCTGTAAAATGGTGTTGATTTTCATGACAGTTAAAACAAATCTTGCCCCCAGGTGTAAGGATAAATATTCAGGATAAATTTGATAATAATATGGCTTCAGGGAAAATGCAGCTGATTGTTCTTTTTTTTTTCCACTATCATTCTACCAATGTGGGGGAAGTTAGGTTATTATATTACAAGTTTTTCTTCCTGTCAATGATATATGATCCCCTTGCTGAAAAAAAAATACTGTAAAAATTTCAGACATGTTTGGGTCACAAGCAGTAACCCCACAAATGCCTAAAGGTTAGATCAACAGTAGGTGAGCACGTTATTATATTTGAAGAAGCCACTAAAAGTTCAAATTTGCCTCGATGTTTTGTAGACTTCTAACATGCAGTTTTGACACAGTGAAGCAGAATGTTTAAAAGTTTATTATTAGCTACTGAATAATTTACAGTATGTCTTTGTATTGTACTAGTGAATTGAATTGATAAAATGAACTTATAAGTAGAGAAACCATGATAGAACACATTTTACCCAATTCTGAAGTCTTATGTACAGCAGATTGAACAACATTCTTCTTTTTGGATGTTTTTGTGGGTTAAAAAAACATCAGAGACACTGGTATGTGTATATTTTTAGGCACACTGTCTCCTCACGGTTACAATTTTCTATCTGTATCTTTTTTAACTTCTCTTTTCATTTATTTTTTTATTGCAAGAGACGAATTTACAAGTGTTCTCTTAATTATAGTAGTATTCCGGTCAGCTAATGCATGTGATGCAACATGGTAGTGTTCTCTGAGTGTGAACTTCATGGCTGAGGCATCAGGGATCCATGATTATAAACACAACTCTGGCAAACTGTTGTAAGCATGCTAATGCTGAATATGTTACTGATAACTTCTCAGAGACAATGGTACTACAGCTTGGTGGTTGGTACTGTTTTGGTTGTGATTTTCCTTTTTAAATTATTAATTCTTATTTTCCATTCTAGGCCAATTCCCCACCATCCATTCCTCCCACTGGCCCCATTTCACCACAGACTTCCAAATCCACATTAGAGACGGTAAAGCCTTCCTTAGGAAGTCTAAAATTCTTTCCCTTCATCAGGTAGGGGCAAGACCAAGGCTCCCCTCCTGGTCTAGACTGAGAAAGTTTTCTCTTCATATAGAAAGGGCTTCGGTAAGTTATATTGTGCATTACTGAAATATCTTAGACCCATTGCCAATGCCCTCATATAATTCCTTGCTGCACAAATGTCTCCTATATTTTGGAAGTCTAGGTCATCTTATGCAAGCTCCCAGATTTCAGACCTGAGAGATTGACCTCTCAGTTGCTCTGGTCAGCTGATTTTGTGGTTTTACCCACTACTGACTTGAATCCTTTGTTCATATCATCTCCATTCCCTCACTTTGATTGTACCCAAGGAATAGAAAAAAATCATACAGAGTGAGGTAACCCAGACTCAGAAAAAAAAAGATATGGTACCTACTCATTCATAAGTAGATACAAGTCATAAAACAGCAGATGCCCAGCCCACAATCCTCAACACCCAGAGATAGCAACAGTTTTAGAAAGAGATGGAAGAAGATGCAGAAAACCAAAACTAACCATTTTGTAGGCCTTCTTTAAATACTCATTCCTTTCTTAATCATTGCGAAGCAGAAAACTTTTCTCTGTTAAGCAAGTTCAACTTCTCTGTATTATCCTTATAACTCCTAAACTCT